TTGAGGCTTCCATGGTTCCTTTGAGAGATAACGTGCATTTGTTTGATGTACTGCGGTTTTCCATATAAAACCTCAACTGGGCTTAAAAATGGGATTTTCACCTCTGAAAAGTACATTATTACAAAGTTGCCATACAATAAAAAATGAACATTACAAAAATGGTCTTCCTGTGAATGATAACTTCATATCCAGCCTCTGTAATATAGATGACTTGTTTTGTAATTTCCTTCAGACAGGATAGAATTCTTACCCCTTAAAAGAAAAAAAAAAAAAAAAAAAGAAAAAGAAGGAAAGACCCTAAAAACCCCCAGATGAGATAAAGATGAATGGATCCTGCACAGGATCTAATCAGATAACATTAATGCACAGATATTAACGAAGCTGTCAAGCTCTATTCACTGTACTGAAGGACTGAAGTATACATTGTCCATTTAACCTTCAACACTGATGTAGTGATTTGTAGTCTGTTGATTTGGTATTCCATTATTGGAATCTTGTGCTTTTGTTATAGCAGGAAATAATAAAGGCATGATCCGAAGGCCAGTTAAATAATGCTCTCAGTATAGCAGACGTCAGTGATAATTAGATAAGAAGAAAGAAAAAAAAGACATCTTTTCAGTTCACTTTTTCAGTCTTTCATTAGTGTCTGCAGTATGTAATGGCTTCATTATATTATCTATGAATTGTTGAAACATTTCCACCAGGTCAAGAACCCTTGCATACTGATCGTATCTTAGAGGTTTTGTTTATTTTCCTAGATCATATTCTGCCTCAAACTTGGTACCTGTGTATTCACCATAGGATCTGAGGATGTATATATTATAGGAACAGACTAAGGATGATGGCTGTAGCTTTTGTAGACATTGTCAGACCCCACAGGAGACAGACTCTGCTACAAAGAACTAAAATAAAACAATATTACTGCCCTGTATAACACAACACCGTTTGATGTCATAAAACCTCTTTGCCAATCCATAGTTCCCTTTTCTAAACACCAACTGTTCCTGACTGTATATGTACATACGTTAGATTTTTTTATTTATTTCATTTTCATTAACAAGGACCCTTATAACTTTTGGAAACTATCATCATCAGCATTGGGTACCAGAAGATATCTGAGGGAATCCTAGGGCAGGACTCATGTTGCTGAAAGCAGATGTTTACTTCTTCCAGTTATTGAGACTCCTTTACTAGTTACTGGTGATAAACAGGCATTCATAAGTAGACCAGCTGATTTCTTCCCTAGAAGAATTTTGCTACACTCACAGTAAGCACCATATGGTGATTTTCTCAGATGTACATGGCTAAGTTAGAGAACGTGAAACCTACTCTTAGCAAGCAAGCCTGTTTAGAATTTGCATCTACACCATCATTAGTTTTGCATCCTTCTCTATGAGGAAATACCTTGCTAATGAAAGTGGGTTTTGTGTATTCCTTACTAGTCTAACACTCCTGTAATCCAGTCAAATAAAGAATGATTTTTTTCTACATTACAAGAAAGAAATATGATGATTTAAAAGTGTGTGCCAGTGCGTGTGATGAACATTCACATGGAAAACACATGTTTTTATGATTTCAATTATTAAAGTTCTAATTTAGTCTTCTTTAATCAATATAGAAACTTGGGAATGTCTTAAAAATTTAATTTAAATAATATTTCTTCATTATTGTGCTTAGTCTATCCACATTAAAATTTATATAACTTGTCCAATTACATATATTTTGCTCTATGCACTTTCTCTATTAAATCAGAATATTTATAATATTTTTTTCTTAGGTTGACTGTGGTGTTGACATTAGTATATCATAAGAAGCTATCTTGTCTGCAGTCTCACGACATATTTCCATGTGTTTGATTAAGTATCGCTGTAATCTCAGTCATCCAATTTCAACAGATATCACTGATTAATGAGAATGAACTAGCCTTCCCTTCTCCTTTACACATTTTTGTACATTCTCACTGAAAATATATGGTTTGTTAAAGGCTTGCCTTTTTTTTTTTTTAAGTTCAACAAATCTCAGCCTTTTGTATTTGACATTTTTTAGGTTATCATATCTTCAGTTAATATGATGCCTTTATTGGCAAATGAGAAGTCTTAAGATATTTGTGTGCTTGGTTGTCTTCTCCTTAACCTTGCCGCTCATCTGGTCATATCAGTTGTTTAATTGTTATCACCACAAAATATAGTTTCTGAGACATTTTTAATCATCCTAACACCACATTACATTTGCATTATGGCTGTGAGGTTTCTTTCATAGCACACATATTGTACTTTAAATATAAAACCAAAATTGAAATTAAAAACAATTAAACATTCTTTAGTAATAAAAACTGACCAGTTGTATCCAGTATAGTGACCAGTAACCAATCTTTCCTTTATCACATATTTGTGTTTGGAGAGCTACAGGTACTATAGCTCTGATTCAGTGCAAGAAGTAAGCGCTTGCATAACATAAGTGTATTGGGTTTGTGTGGCAAGGTTTTGGTAGCGGGAGGGCTATAGCGGTGGCTTCTGTGAGAAGTTGCTAGAAGCTTCCCCTGTGTCTGATGGAGCCAATGCCAGCCGGCTCCAAGACAGACCTGCTGCTGGCCAAGGCCGAGCCCATCAGCAACGGTGGTAGCGCCTCTGTATAACGTATTTAATAAGGGGGAAAAAAAACCCTGCAGCTGGAGAAGAGAGGAGTGAATATGTGAGAGAAACAGCCTTGCAGACACCAAGGTCAGTGAAGAAGGAGGGGAGGAGGTGCTCCAGGCACCGGAGCAGAGATTCCCCTGCAGCCCGTGGTGAAGACCACAGTGAAGCAGGCTGTGCCTCTGCAGCCCATGGAGGTCAACGGTGGAGCAGATATCCACCTGCAGCTCATGGAGGACCCCAAGCCGGAGCAGGTGGATGAGCCTGAGGGAGGCTGTAACCCTGTGGGAAGCCCATGCTGGAACAGGCTCCTGGCAGGACCTGTGGAGAGAGGAGCCCACGCTGGAGCAGGTTTGCTGGCAAGACTTGTGACCCTGTGGGGGACCCACGCTGGAGAATGTACCTGAAGGACTGCATCCCGTGGAAGGGACCCACGCCAGAGCAGTTCGTGAAGAACTACAGGCCGTGGGAAGGACCCATGTTGGAGAAGTTCGTGGAGGACTGTCTCCTGTGGGAGGGACCTCACGCTGGAAACAAGGGAAGAGTGTGAGGAGTCCTCCCCCTGAGGAGGAAGGAGCGGCAGAGACAATGTGTGATGAACTGACTGCAACCCCCATTCCCCGTTCCCCTGCACCACTGGAGAAATCGGGAGTGAAGTTGAGCCCGGGAAGAAGGGAGGGGTGGGGGGAAGGTGTTTTTTAAGATTTGATTTTATTTCTCATTATCCTACTCTGATTTGATTGTTAATAAATTAGATTAATTTTTTTCCCCAAGTCGAGTCTGTTTTGCCCGTGATGGTAATTGCTGAGTGATATCTCCCTGTCCTTATTTTGACCCATGAGCTTTTAATTATATTTTTCTCTTCTCTGTCCAACTGAGGAAGGGGAGTGATAGAGCGGCTTTCGTGGGACTCTGGCATCCAGCCAAGGTCAACCCACCACAATGAGGATCACATGTATTCCTCTTCAGAGAAGCCTTTTGCTGCCACATAGAGTTTATAAAAGTTCAGTGCCTTTCTGAGTGTGATGTGTTGGAATTCATTTTTCATTTTTAACTCTAGACTGTTTACAGCTGTATTGTAACGTCAGCATAATCGCTGACTTTAAGATGCTCATTTGGGATTTATCCTACTGTAACTCGATGGAGAACTTAGACCGTTGCATTTGTAGGTCAACAGATGTGTGTTTCACCTCTGCTGCTCCTCTGAGTGAGTACAGGAATGTTTTGCAGATGCTGTCAGATTATTTTGCGAACACATTTCAGATCTCTATGATGTATTCAGAAGCAGAACTGCGGAAAATCTTTTAAAATCTGTTTTATACAGTTGGAATTATAGTTTGAAAAGATAGTTGAGTAACCAGAATGCAGTTTTAGAAAGTCTTTTGTTGCTGCTGTTAATGATTAAACTTGGAGTTGCAAAGGAATATTTAGAGGGGCATTTGTTGCAAGCTGACAAACTAAGACTACAGATATACAGTAAATGGTGCTAATATGAACATGATGCTTTCTTTCAATAATTGCCTGTGAGGTAAGATGCTTTTTTGCCTCCAAAATAATTTTCTTTACAGGACTGTCCTCCAGATCACAGATATCCCGTTAGTTGTGGGGGGCTAATTTTTAATTCTAATGCAGTATTTAGTCCAAAAGAAACTATACTTTCATCAAAGAAAATTAAAGCAGAATGAATGTGGAAAAAATTAATGTGCATTTTGTTTAATAAGCAAAACAAACAAACAAAAAACAATCTCCAGGCTGTATCTCAGTACAAAATATTGTCATATAAACAAAGTAGTTTAACCATTTGCCACATTTTCTACACAAATTTATACAGAGCTTGGAATAATAATTGATTAGTCAATGCCAATGCTATGCAAAAAAAAAAAAAAAAACCCAAAAAACCAGACCACAATTTTCTGAATGAGGTGTTTTCATCAGTGAAATGTCTGGGTAGTATGGCACATGGTATTTGACATTACCTTAGATAAAATATGAATAGGAAAAAAAGAAGTATTCATTCACAATTGTCCTGGTTTCAGCTGGGATAGAGTTAGTTTTCTTCAATGATGAAATAATGGGGGAGAATTTGGTCCTCACAGAAGTCACAAAAAGTTTTGCCATTAACTCAGAAAATTCTTGTTTCATTCACAGGGTAGAACTACCTTTACCATTAAAGTTATTGGGGAATATTCACTAACGAGACACTGCAAAAAGCTAAAAAATGAGCTATCAACTATGCTCTGCCAATCAAAAGTGCTGGTTGGATACAAATGGCAAAGTTCATTTTGTACTTACTGGCAGTTGTAAGTGAAACAGTTTTGCGGCAACATCACTGGATAATAAAATTTCCAAATAACTTTATCTGTATAGGAGCTGGATTTTGAAGCTAAGACAAGCTATACCCTGAGGATAGAAGCAGCCAATATGCATGTTGACCCTCGCTTCCTAAGTCTGGGACCCTTCAGTGACATGACAACAGTGAAGATAATTGTAGAAGATGTTGATGAGCCACCAGTGTTTACTTCACGTTTGTACTCCATGGTGGTGTCTGAAGCAGCAAAGATCGGCACTATCATTGGAACTGTAGCAGCCCATGATCCAGATGCCTCAAATAGTCCTGTCAGGTAATTATAAGATGTCTTAATTGTTTATTTATTTAGCCTTTGTATTGAAGTTGTTCATTTTGTTGTTGGTTACACTGAAAGTAATTAGTTAGCTTTTTTCCCTTGCAGAGGGAGATTAGGATGTTCTAAGAGTTTGAATATTTTGACTTTCATACTCCAGAACTACAGAACCTTTGAAAAAATAATATATTTAAACCTCTGTAAAACAAAGAAGAGAAGAGAAGATATAATTTCAGGATTCCAAAGAAAAAAGCCTCAACATATTACTTGTATTTATTTCTCTCTAAGTTTAGGAAGAGTCTATTATTATCTATAACTATAACAAGTTATGTTCTCTTAAATCAACCAGGAACAAAAAATATATGTATGATTTACACATGTGTGTGTGTCTGTGTGTGTGTGCATAATGATATTCTGTATGCACTATGCACTATGTAATAGCACATAGACTCTTGCATGGTAAACCAGAGCTGAAGTCCCACAGAAAAAAAAAAACATTAGAAAAAACCCTTTATGTGAGAGAAATGGATTGGACAAGACACATCCTGTCTTAGTCAGGATGGTTAAAGGCAATAATCTTTTGGCTTTTGTAAATTCTGCTGCAGCCAAATATCTTCCATTCGAATGGGAAGAGATATGAACACTATAGATGCATGAAAACTGTCGAGAGCCTCTTCCTTTGTCTTCAGTGTGTGAAGAACCTGCAAGTCTTCCACAATCTGATGTCCAGGATCATAAAGAAACCATAAGAAAACACAAATTATCGATTTTATGTTTGCATGTATCTAAGGCCAAAGCTCAAGGACAAAGACTCACCACCTAAGTTAAACCAGTAATGAGTCACTTGTTACTTCTCTCTTGAAGAGTAGTAATACTAATTGTCAAAGGAACATGCAAAAGATTTAGAGTGTAATACTTCTGACTCAGGAATTTTGTGAACTTAAACATCTGCAGGAGGAGGAAGACATACACAATTAAAAGTTAGTACTAAGTTTCATTTGTTATTATTGTTCATTTAGGGCATACCTAGAAAAGAACTTCACAGGTACAGAACTTGTTTGGATGTCATCTTTTCTGGTGATGTTAAATTTTTACTTTTATGCATAGGAGATGAACTTGGGACTCTAGTGTAGCTCTGTAATTTCTAAAGCAGCAATCTTAAGCTGTAAAAATAAAGCATATGTTTCACTCCTAGAGGTGAAGTAAGTGTTCTCTCTCTCTCTTTCATTATATATTTGCAACATATTCAAAATAGCTGATTCCTATCATGTATAAACAAGTCCTAGATGGATGATTGGCATGGATTTACTTGTGAAATTTATCTTTGCTGAGCTTTTTCTTTGCTGTGGCAGTGTTTTCTGGCACTAATGTTAGCATCTGGTGTATAATATCTGGTTTAGCAGAGTCATGCAGAGTAGGATTAAATCCAGTTCCATAAATGCAGTCCATGCTTAGAATGCTTTTGACTCCTGTGTAAACATAAGGATGAGTTTATTTGCCTTGATCTGGTTAATTTTTAGAATTCTGGCATAAACCAGATCAACTAACATCTTGAAGATTTCTTCTGCTTTAAAATTGTTTGGAATTTGAGAGGGAAGAAAAAGAGAAATTGTGAGGGTTTATCTATATGCTTGCAAACCTGCTATGTACATTGTCAGGGGTACTGACAGATCATATAGTTTAAAGCTGTCCTGCATCTGTTATGATGTACATCAGAGCCAGATTCACGTAAAAGTGGAATGTGTTAAGGAGGATTAATGCATAATACTTTTCATGATCTATTTAAGAAGTTTAAATTATTAATCTATAAATAAGTATTCCAAATTCCAAACATTAGATTATGTTGATATTGATTAAAAATTAGATTTGTTACAATTCAGAAAATGTTGAAATTACAAGATCAGGCACAATTAAAATCCTGACAATACTGGGGGGGAGGAAGTATGAAATATTTTGAAAATAAGAGGTTTTCTCTTATGGACCAGAGAACTACTGATGTTTGAACAAGCTTAAGTAAAGGATTTAAAACTCCTGCAGCTCCAAGATTTTCAAGTATTAATGGCTGCAAGGAATTAAAGGATTAAAAGTATTTAAAATAGGTTTTTTTAGAATTTGAATATGGATACAATGTTTGTAAATAAGGGAAACTGCTTGCTTCCTGTGCATAAAAATTATTTTTTTTCTTGTTTCATAAGAATCTGTTGTCTAATTTATATAACTTCTTTGCTTTCCCTCCCTTCCTCCCTTCCTCCCTCTGTCCCTCCCTTCCTTCCTTCCTCCCTCCTTCTTTCCTTCCTTCCTTCTTTCCTCCCTTCCTTCTTTCCTTCTTTCCTTTTCCTTCCTTCCTTCTTTCCTTCTTTCCTTCCTTCCTTCTTTCCTTCCTTCTTTCCTTCTCTCCTTCCCTCCTTCCCTCCTTCCTTCCCTCCTTTTTATTGTTTTCTTTTTATTGCTTCCTTGCTTTCTTTTCCTTTTTCTGTCTTTCTAACCTCTCTCCTTCTCCTTGTCCTTCTCTTTCTTCCTTTCTTACTACTTTTTTTAAGAAAGGTCGTTGCTCTTCAAATTGCATAGTGATAGTGTTAATAATTGGGAAATCTAAGGGCTGGCAGGAGATTGAAACCCAGCTACAGGGCCTGCCATAGGCTACATAGCAGAGGTGACAGGCATAGTCTCACGGGGAAGCTTGCCAGCCATAAAAGAGCTGAAGAGCACTGCTGACCAAATAAAAACCCGTGCTGGCATGGAATAAAGTAAAACATGAACTACAGTTAACATAAAATAGGAAAAAAAAAAAAAAAAGTGAAAGAGGGAGAGCCTTAATCCATGAAAACTGCTGTTACTCTTGTTACAACTCTTTACTCCATTCTCTCTCTCACCGTGACACAATACGGTAAAACAATTCTAATTATGTAACAGGTCTCTGCTCTAAGATTTTGCAGCCAAGAGGGATAAACAAAAACACAGTAATACAACAAAGTAGAAGCTGGTATAATACAACACAGCACAAACAAATAGTGTTATAAGACCATTATATTTGGGAAGTCTCGTTTTTTAACTATCTTCCATAATTCTTTCCTTCCATGTTGTTCAAAGGGTTTGGTTAATGTTATATCAATAATCTAATATATCATTGTGTGACAGTAATTGTAATGATCACTTTTGGTCTGATTCAGACATTTTAATTCATCCTGAGAAAAGGGGTATATACTTGATCTAAATGAGAGTGCAAGAATCTGACCCAATATTAAATTGAATGTCAAGAATATTCCAGTTGTAAATCTAAACCTGCCTAATCAACTATCCCTTTCTCTCAAAAGGGTTATAAGCAAAACACCCACAAGCATTTTGACCTTTTCCCTTATGCTATTTTCTGTTTGCTAAGGAGCTCATTTCCCCTTCTAAAACAAATTTAGAGGTAAAAGATATGTTAAGCCAAAGAGTTAAGGGCATGAGCCTGTGTTCGTCTAATGATGGTAAAACACCGGGAGCTGACAGTGATGACATGCAATTTCTTGACCTACTCTGCATCATCTCTCTTTTTTTGCCTGCCCCTGCAGCTCTGGGTGACTTAGGGGCTCTTCTGCTGGTGATAGAAAGCTCTGTGCTCAGACTGCCAGCCCCCATGGGTGCAGCACCCGGCTGGTACAGCCAAGTAGCAAACTTCCAACTGGTCTTCTCCTTAGCTGGGGTTCGGGAGGATGCTATTCCATGAATAAATGAAAGTTTGCCTTACAGCAGAGAGGAAGAAAGAAAAGAGAGGGGAATACCTATAACCTCACTTAAGAGGGCACTGTGAGGGAATGGAGCCCGCCACTGTCAGCACAGGTCGCTGTGTAACTCTCTTGCCTTTGCATACGGCTTTGCTTCTCTCAACGCCCTAGAGAAACTGGACAAAACAAAGCTCAAAATGGGCAAACAATGGAAACTCTTTCTCTCTAATAAGAAATCAATGAAACATTTTTACAGACTGTAATTGAACATAAATCAAAAGTTTTCTTTCATCCTTCACCTAGGTACTCGATAGATCGAAATACAGACCTGGAGAGGTATTTCAATATTGATGCCAACAGTGGAGTCATTACAACTGCCAAATCTTTGGACAGGGAAACTAATGCTGTTCATAATATCACAGTTTTGGCTATGGAGAGTCGTAAGTAATAATTTAAAGATTTTATTGGCTGTTTATGTGTAAAACTTCAGGCTTGGTTGTGATCAGCTGCATTAGAGGAATTATGACAGTTTCAAACCATGGCAGATAAAAATAACTTCTTACTCAATGTAAAAGAAACCTATGTGATAAAAATTAAGAAATATAACAGATTAAGTATTTGCTCTTTCCTTTGCCTCACACCTTGTGTAGTCTTTTGACTTCTGAAAAACAAATACAAAGGAAGATGAAATATGTTAAGTCAGCAGTCTCAGCCCAAGTATCATTAGAGGAAAAGTGATATGAAATACAGAGGAGGAGCAGTTAGCCCATCTTAGTGATGGCAGTCGCTTAGAGTTGATTGCTGTGGGTCAGCCACAGCATTCTTAAAAATTAGGGAGGAAAGGGGATGTGAATGCTTGTGTGGTTTCACTTTCCTGACTTTAAGGTTAGACTGTAGAGGATATTTTGTACCTGGTATCTTTTCTGGTGTAAGATGAAAAGTGTTGAAGAATCGAACTCTTCAAGCACATACAAGAAGAATTCTGTTAATGCAAGTTTAAACATAAACTTGTTCAGCTCTGAATACATTCTGTGAAAAACTATAACTTTTTCCCTTTATCGTGAAAGAATTTATTTCTTCAAATTTCATCCTTATTACTACTCTATTGGGCTGTGATAATAAAAGAGTTATCAGTTCTCTTACCTGCTATTTTAAAAATCCTCACTTCTTGCTTTCAGTGAGGTTAATTTAATGTTTAACGTGAAAACTAACATTTATCATTTAGTGTCTATATGAGTTTATCTTGTATTCTCAGGAGCAGAATTTTGGTCTAGGAGGCCAGCATGGGAACCAAAAATTTTCCTGGGTAATAACAAAACTGACAAGGTAGCCAAGGGGCATACCTGACACAAGTGAGGGTCTAGGAGCACAACTAATACCTTCAATGCTTTAATTTATGTTCATGGCCTGCTTGGTTTTCAATAAGCTTAGATCAGCAGAGGAAAAAGTTGGTGTCAAAATTGCTTACTCCTCTGGTATTTCACATGTGGTATAAGAAACAAAAGAAAACACTTCATGATCTACATTTGGATGCATTGTTTAAATACTTATAATATTTACTAAAATGTGGTTGCAATACCTTATAAAAAGATAGATACATATTTGAAGGTTTGTAAGTTTTCCATTCTGCCCTGCTCTGTCACTAATATCAACACTTGTGGTAAAAAAAACCCCGCAATCTCTCTTTTCCCTGCTCCAAAACAGAAGTGTTATCTAGCAAAATAAGTATAGCACACACTGATATCCTTTATGCTTAGTCCAAAAATATCTACTGTTTAAGATTAAATTATTACATTGGACCCTGCACAGATTCATATTTTAGCATTGGTTTAAGAATGTGATTCATATTTAAGGTGTTCAACATGTTAATGACAGTGTTTAAATACTTAGTTGTGTGTGCTCTTTAAATACTTTGGGTTTTGCTTGAGAATACAGCTTCCTCTTTTTTTTTTTTCTGTTATACATAGCTGATGGAATTCTGGTTTTAACTTCTTAATAGCCTGATCAATCTAAATCGCAACAAAAATTTATTTAACCCGTAATAACCATGCTATTCCTGATATGAATAGTGTTGTTCTGGCAAGTTATACCCCTTGGTGATGGTTTTACATCATTTTGCTCTTACCCTTCCATATGATGCAATTCAATGCTGTGATTAGTGAGTTAGATTTTCAGTTTATCCCTGAGAGTAAAATCTTAGTTTAATTAAAGCATTTGGAAAACATAAACATTGTTTCCACTAGGTCCAGAAGATCAAGCCAAGATCTTCCTTTGTCCGTCTAAGAGGTATTGCAATTGATTTGACAAGTATATGAAAAAGGAGAATGCAAATGAAAAACGTACTGACCCAAAGAATAACTTGCAAGGAGCTCTTCTTGATTGTTTTGTTGGCTTCTTTTCCTATAGAGAATCCAGCACAGATTGGGAGAGGTTATGTAGCCATCACTATCCTTGACATCAACGACAATGCCCCTGAGTTTGCCATGGAGTATGAGACAACTGTCTGTGAAAATGCTCAACCTGGTCAGGTATGGCTTGACAGGTTTTTTATGTTTATTTTTATCAGATAGGCAGCCATTCTTTATGGAAGCCTGCCAGCTTTAAGATAAAATATAATCAGTTTATGGCAGTAAAAATGCTGCTTTGATGTGTAGCACAAGCAAATACTCATCAAATCCTAATATCTTCACCATACCACTGAAGAGAAAGACTCAGGTGTAAAAATTACATGCTGAAGGTACTGTTAAAATCTCTGGCTTTCTTATTGGTGTAACGGATGTGTTTTGCTAAACTCACCTAATTTTGAATAATATCAAGAATGCGTACTTCCTCCTAATTTTCCCTAACTGGGAAGTGGGAAGTCTTAACATGGAGGTTATTCTGAGACTGAAAGCCTACCATTCCTAAAATGAGTATATACTTCTATTTGCCTTAGGAAGTGTGGGCCATAAGGCCACAATTTCACAAGGGAGATGTATTCCTAACAAATTCCCCAGTGTTTTTAACTCCCCAAATGTCTTCCAAGTAGTCCTAGACTCAACTAAAAGTATCTGGTGTTGTTTATCCTTGGTGTCTCCCATATTTGGACTTTTCCGCTCTACTTCATAAGACACCAGGAAAAAAAAAAAATTCTCATTCTCTCTTCTGTCTCCCAGAAGACTAGTCAATATTTCACCCACATAGATCCCACATATTCCCTGGGAGGCTTTGCACTTTTGTGCCTTCTCCCAGAATATTGTCCTTCCTGTGGCAGATGTTGTTTATCGCACTTTTCAAAATCACAGCATAATTTAAATCCTCAACAGAAAACACTACGATTATTAGCTTGCGTTCACGAGAAACACAGAATGTATGTGCTCTTATTGGAGTATCTGTTTGTTTTCCCTGTGGTCTAGTCAGAACTGTTAGCTCTGAGTATTCATTCTTCATGGACTATAAGCAATGGTGACACTTCTTTTTTCTAGAAACAGATTTTGACAGAATTTTAGAAAATAAAATTGGAAAAATAGTAAAGATAATTAAAAAAAAAACCCAGAAAATATTAATATACTTATGAATTGTTTTTTCTTTTTCATGTCTTTACAAAAAATTAAATTAGTTAAAATGCTCAAAATCATAATCTCCTTGTGAAAGTTTATAATGCAACATTAACTGCAGCCATTGATAACTACATTAAGGGCCATGCAGAAGATACAGTTCTTCCACTGTTATGCAGTTTATACTTCCTGCCCTGGTGAATGACAGGACCTAACTTTCTCTGACTAACTTTTTCTGACAGGCCCTGCAGATCATTGCTTTTCGCCAATAAAGTTGGTACAGGGAAAGTAAAGGGTCGAGTCACATTTTAGTTTTAATATTGTCTGTACATGTTTAGGAGATTAGAAAAACAAAATGCAACATGAGCAGGACTCAAGAGACGGTTGAGACTTTGATAGGTAATAGAGGGGTTATGCAATGTACAGGTATCTATGCTTCTTCCCATTCCAAACGATGAAACCCCGGTGTATGTCAAAACAGGTCATCCAGAAAATCAGTGCAATTGATAAAGATGACCCACCAAATGGCCATCAGTTCTACTTCAGTTTAACAGCAGAGGCAGCAAATAACCACAATTTTACACTGCAGGACAACAAAGGTAAGGATATTTTGTTTGGGTAAATATTTACCACTAACACCTTTCATTTTGAATGTATTGTGCTGATTATAACCTACATAAACTTCTGTTCTGGTAAGGACATAAATTAAAGTACAATCAGCCTGCAAAATAATTTTATATGTAGATTATTTGTCAAGGGAATTAAGCTGTTGTTTGAATTGTTTAAAGCCTTGAGCCAAACAGAGCAGCTTCAAACTTTTTTTTTTTTTTTTTTTTTTTGTCCCAGAAGTCACTCTTCTCACTTTTTTTCTTTGTATTTATAGGTTTTTATCTAAATTAGATTTTACCTTGGGGCAGTGACTGAAAAATATCCAAGAATGCATGTTTTATTAATATAACTTAGGGCATAAAAAATGAGTGCACAGTAAATTGAGGGGTTCTTTTTTCATTTTAGAAAAACACATCTTTTCAGTAAGTCTACCACCTACTGAAGAATGCTTTTGATAATGGAAGCTGCCTACAATATTTACACAGACTTCTTATCACTATTTCCCCAAAGACTTACACAAAGACTCTCATTGACATCACATTTCTATTAGTCAAAATATCTGAGAACATGCTTCTAATTAGTGTTCTCTTTAGTTGCACTGCATAGTACGGCAGCTGGGCATGTATCAGTCAGTTTAGCTATTAGCTGAAGCAAATAGAACTAAATAGACATTATGTTATTTTTGCATTGCTCTTTTATAGATCAGTACTAAACCAAAGCTACAAAGTCATCCTTATTAATAAAATAAGAAAAAACAGACATATGGTGGACTAAAGGATACTGTTTATACAAACAGACTTTGAACAACATTCACTAAATATAACATGTGACCTAATAAAGTTCTTTCACACAGCTATTTATTGCCTTACCCTGCATGTAGTTACTGACATGCTTAATTTTCTTCACAGGAGCAGCTTGCAATTCAAAACTAGACTGTAATAGTAATAATGATCAAAACAATAAAAACACATTAGAATAAGACTCTATTCAGAAATCTGACATTGTTACAAGTACTGTTAAGTATTTAATGAAAAGACAGGCGCTGTTCCAGAGAACTTATAATTTGGAAAAAGTAATAATAGACTTTTGCAATGCCAGTAAAATCAATCGAATTACAAGACACAGCAGCAGTTGCCTCTTTCTATGTTAATTAATTTTATGCATATCTCATATAATGCTATATGAAGAAACGCTTGCATATATTGCCAGATAGGTCATAACAGATGACACAATAGGATAACTTTACAGGACTATTGATATAATGTCTATAAATAGATAGATAAGCAGATAGATAGATAGACAGACCGACCGACCGACCTTTTCTATACATTCTAGGAGATGTAACTCCCTACCTCTCAGGAGCTGTCAACCTGTATTGAACACAGTGAGTTTTGCACATATTTTCTGGAACACATGGACTTTTTAATCACCCAACTCAGAGCAACATTGAACCACACATGTTAGATTGATTATATTAGTCATCTTGACTCTCAGATGAGACTGAAAACAAGTGCATGTTTTTGTTACATGTGTAATTACTTGTATTTGTGCTCCAACTGTTTTTTTTTTTGGCATTCAAAAAATATTTCATTGGTCTTCAGAACTTATTCTCCTATTAATATGTCCATTACTTCCATTAATATGATATCTATATCTGTAAATAATTGAAATAGACCCTTGGAAATGAGACCTGAAACAGATATATAGATATTTAATCTGATCACTGAAGGGTGATTTTTTCTTTTTTATAATTATCTCATCTTCAACTATCTATCAAGAGTGTGGAACTGTGAGCTTAACTAAAACTGAATAGACCTCTGCAATTTTGAAACAGTCTTTTGTGGAAAATAGAAATGTGTTTTTTTAGTTGAGTATCATTTCTCAGCTTATCCTATCTCTACAGCTTCAAAAATGTGCAACCAGGAAAGATAAACTTGTTGAAATAATATAAATGTGTTTACAAAGTCTTTTAAGTGAAAGACTGTATTATTTATAGGCTTGTGTTTTAGAAAGATCATGTATTTTATATTTATCTTTTTATTCCTTTATCTAGATAACACTGCAACAGTATTAACCAGAAGAAATGGGTTCCGAAGACAGGAACAATCTGTTTTCTATTTGCCAATATTCATTGTGGACAGTGGATCACCTTCACTTAGTAGCACTAATACCCTCACCATCAGAGTCTGTGATTGTGATGCAGATGGTATTGCTCAGACATGCAATGCAGAAGCATATATCTTGCCTGCAGGACTTAGCACTGGAGCCCTGATAGCAATATTGGCTTGTGTCTTGACACTGCTAGGTACGTCTTCTTCCTGTTACCCTTATTTTCCATTCAACGTATAGTAAGTAGCAATATATATATGTGTGTGTGTGTGTATGTATATATTCCTCTGTCCACACACAGAAATGATAACTTCCCCCCCCCCCCCCCCAGCCCGATTTCTGTAAACAAGGACACCTAACATTCCAGGCAGAACAGCATTTTCTATCATGAGCCACACAAAACCTTTAGTTTTGGATTTTCAAGTTCAGATACTTTGTTTCTATGTCAAGCTGCCTCCAGATATATATATGAAATAATAGTAAAAGAAAAAAAGATGGCTTGCATCAAATGTAATATTTAAGAGATACACAATGCAGTTTATGGAAGTATTTGGTTTAGCATACTCACTGTATAACCAGTATCAATGTGTGTCCCTTTTTCAGAGATATAGTTATTTTTAAACATTTATTGATTTGCATAGAACAAAAGACATTCAGAAAATACAACAGATGTAATTTACTGATGGGAATCATCCTATTTAATTGAACATCTTCTACAGAATGATGTTTTGTTACTTCTGCAACTGGTAACACAGTTGGATTTTACGTTGTGCAGTGAAACTGCAACTAGATAAAAGACAGTGGAAAACAGTGGAAGAGTGTCAACATCCTAGTTTGGTTAGCATTTCTCATTTCATGCCAGGTCCTTAAACAAAATGACTACATGGTAGTAGTAAAGGCCCAAATCAAGGAGTAAAGATGAAGAATCACCCTGCATCTGCAGGTGATGGTGAGCAGGTGCAGGATGCAGGTGAACAAAAGTGCAGTTTTGCTTATTGTCAGAAGGATCACATGTTAATAAGGGTACCGATTCAACACAAGAATTTTCTTGAGTGTTGTTATCAATGGAGAGATTTTTCTATTCTCTGGCTGTACATATCAGTCTAAGAGAAAGGGGAAGACCATAGTCTCCTCAGGTTGGTATAATCCCAGTGGTGATTTATCTGTCACTGTTATCCAAGTAATCTGAATAGATCAAATCAAGAGACTTTTGTCCACACTTCTGTTCATGGCAATATTTCAACAATGTATAGATTTCTCTTCTTATTGACTTTGATTCACCTCACTGTAAACCATTAGAAGGAAATGTCCCTTCTGCTACAAACATTTCTAAAGGACTCAAAAAAGGAAATCCTCTTGCACTGTTGTTACAGAGTAAGAAAAATCACTACCTCTGCAATGAGCCCAACCGACTTACTCAATAGCTATGCATGCATAGGAGGTAGCATTTCCAGAGTTTTCCATCTTTGTGACAAAAAAACCTAACAACATAAGTTTGTTTAAACTCACTCAACACATGCTTACGCCTAGGTTTAAGGAAAAATGGAAGGGAATGATTGCCAAAAGTTTTAATGAACATTTTTTAAATACCATTTTTCTACTAGCATTTCTAGGCCATTTACACACCCAAATGAACTTTATTTGGACATGAAGCTAAATGGTAGAGTGCAAAAAAATGTACGAAAGATTCTCGTATCAACTGGCATTGGCATCAGTGGAAAAACACCCATTTAAAAATTTGGTCCAATGTACTTAAGAAGAAAAGTTCTGTAATAGGAATTCACTTCATCCCAAACTGAAATGTCACCATTTCTGTTATATATAAAAAGAGAGTTTCTGAATATTACATAAGAAACTACTGTAGATACAACACAGACTGGCCTGGGCATAAGGTTTTCTTAAATAGGTGCCATATATCTTAAAGAAGAGCATTGAGTGGAAACACAGCATGTTACCATGCAATAACTTGCTTATACTACTCATTACACCAGGCTTCAAATACAACCAATAAATCAAGAAACCTGAGTTTTCATTCTGGTCATTTTTAGAGTGTGTCGAACAAACATTTGGTAAAGAATTGAGGATAAGGTCTCTGAACATAGTGTTTGAATAATGGGCTGTGCACTGAAGAGGAATCTGGCATATGACCACCTTGCCATTGATTTTACTTGTCAAAGAATTGGACTTCCAAATACAACTGTCCAAATGCATCACCACTGTTTATCCAAATAGACATTTGTATGTGCTGTCATCATGTCCTATCTAAATTGTTCCTCTTGGGTACAGTTCAAAGCTGCAGACACAGTTTAGGCCATGTTTGTATGCTAACGATGGCTTTGAGTCCTGCATTTTGGTACTGTATCCTGCTGCTGTTTTGTTCCCAGCCAGGTGCCAGTCTTCACAAGGAAGAGGTGTGTAAGCATCACTGCTGCCCAGTGAAACCCCAGTCAAGTGTTGTCGCTTGTCTGGTCCCAGAGCCTTTCTTCTTCTCTCATTTGTTCCTAGAAGACATTTGCTGGGATCAGCTGAATGGTAGTACTGCTAGGAATTTACTTTCTCCTTTTTCCCTTTTTCTTTTCACAACCTGAGAAAAAATCCTGAAAATCCACTAGCACAGCATAAAAAATAGGCTTCAGCTGTTGGCAAGTGGTTCCAGGGCTGGGACCAAGGGATGCACCTTTTTGTGTAAGAGTTTATCAGTGAAAAGAGGAGACAGGCTACCGGATCAAATTTTTTTCTGACCCAAGATTAACAGGCAGTGCAAATCCAGTCACATTCATCAATGTCATCTCAGTGTGAGTGCCAGCTGAAAAGTGGAGGAGGTATGAGATTTACATAAACATCATGGATACATGTATTCTGGCACTAGTGTCTTGAACTCCCAACAAGCTCTTACCTTCTTAAAATTATTATGATGTACTTTGATATTTGTTCTTGCCCCATACATCCCTTTGTCTAATAAATAACCATTTGTCTTGACCAAGACTCAGATTGTCTCAGTGGGATTTCTTAAGTGTTATTCTTTTTACTTGAGCAACCAATCAATTTTAGATAAGCACAATTTTTTCACTGACATTAAGAAGGAAGAATGTTGCTAAATCATACTAATTCATTATAATTGCATGTAACATGATGTAGATTACTTATTCAAACTAAAATAATTTTAAAGTTAAAAACATCTTACCAAAATCTTTTCCCCTCTTCATATTGACTGATGGAGATCAAATTCTAAATTTTATTCCACAAGAAAGTTTCAGTACTTTGTTAATTACTCAAAACATCTTTATAATTATTCACTCTGCAGTGAGGTTATGTTTTAAAGAAAAAATTTTATTCTATAAAAAGTATATGAAAAGATAGTTTTTATTCATTTTAGACTGTACATAATTTTTATAGCAGTAAGTAAGATTTTTTTAAGTCCTCTGAAAAATATATGTTACTTTAATTCAAGGTAATTTGTTTTTCGGTTAGCATCTTCCAGACGCAGTAATTGCTTTTGTAACAAGTGTTTAGCATAAAATGCATACATAAAATTACATGAAAAAAGAATGTTCACGTGTAGATAACCCAATCATATTTGAGAGGCTAAAGATTTTCTTTGTTTTGAAACAATGGAAAGCTAGGTTGACATAATGCTTTTTAATGATTTTTGTCTTCCATACATCTGAATATAATCTATTAGTACCACCAATATTCTTGGAAACACTAAAAAAAGCCTCCTAATAGTGTGGTACTAGAGTTTACAAGTTAATAATACATTGATTAAACTTCAAAATACAGATTTAAATTATTATTTTTTCAGATGAAAGATGAGGAATTTGTCATTATCGCAATACCTACAAGAATCCAATTAAATCAGCACACATAATTGTGTGATTTGTAAAGAAGAAACAGTCCTAGTCATAAGGATCTTATTCTCTAAATAGGTAGAATGTGTACAGAATGTGACTATGTAGTATGTGTGGTGTTTGGTCTTGCAGTTTTAAAAGCGATAAATCTAGAACCGTTTTAGTTTGGGGGTATCCAAACTAAGTAATTTAAAAGGTGGTTGAGTGTGCAATGCAGAAGCTGTTTTCTGAAAGTTATAAAGCCTATTAGGGTCACTCAGTCTGGACATTTAAAGGTCACAGCCACTTTGCAAATATCAATCCAAACTGATTAAACACCAGTTATATATGAAGTCTGTTAACTGGGAATTAAATGCAGGTTCCCTGAGTCTTGGCCTCTGTAATCCCCAAAATTCATCTGACTGTACTGGCAACAGCAAGGTATAACTAAATAGGTTATTAGTGTGCTGCTTAGATGGCTGAGGATCTCCAATCTTGAGCTTTATGAATCATGACACACCTAAGGCATAAACCAATGTGCAGATTTACTCGCAGCTGATGCAGCTTATTGCCATAGTAAATGCCAGGCTTAGGGGTGTAGCGTATACAAGGCATGATAATGTTTGTGATTTAGCTCTGTCCCTTACTGTATAGATCTGCATGTAGTCTTCTCCCTCAGGTTGTCTCAGGGTTTTTATGGCTTCCTTACAATTATGTTGGAGTTGCCTTGAGTACAACAGGAAAGATTAATACTAAAACAGAGAAATATGCTCAGGTGACCTAAACCTGACTTTTTACAGAGCATACCAAAATGGAAATTTCATAATAATTCCATAAAACACACTGCAAAATGGCAAAGCAAAAATTCACTCTTGTATTCAAAGGTGTTTGTTTAAAGACTGATTTAGGAGAACTGAAACTACTGATATTATCATTACATCTGTACTGACACAAGGATAAAACTACCACAGCCAATATAAATACAAATGACATTTTCTCTTGGCTACTGTACCTGTTAGACAAAATCAACATTTCTAACAATTCAGATAAATCAGAACAAAAAGGTTAGTTTAGATCTATCTTTATTAGTTCTGGTTATTCAGTCTTTATAATCAGTTACTTCTAATATCGATTGGTTTATTTATTTGTTAAATCACATATGGAATCAGTATTACTATTTAATCCCTTTAGCACGAGTTCGGTGTACCAGCATGGAGCCAAACTAATGGCCTCAATGTGCAATACGTATGTCCTTAAAGCTTTTCCATTTTATTATTTCTTTTCTAAAAAGCATAAAATTTCATAAAATTAGGTTTTCTATATGTCCAGCCAGTCACTAATTACTGACTTAATTTCTGCTTTTGTGATAAATGTAGGAAAAAAACCCACCACGACTTAATGAAAAATGAATAAGCTTTAAAACCATTTGCACTTGATTTAGATATCATTGAAATTTGTTTTGGTCTTGTATTCATCTCTGCAGTTCCTGCAATGTGGCTAAAGATTTTTTCATTTAGAGGTTAAACTTTACTGTTCATAGCTGCTGGAAAGGCTAGAAATTAATAATCTCATAAAGCCATCTAAATGTTAAAATATTTAACCTTTAGAAAGTCTCCATATTTTTCTTGGCTTCAAGCAAGTGTGAGATGTACAAGGAATACTATATAAAACATTCATTGTATCTTGACTTTTATTGTACCTTTAGGCGGACCTGCCTACTAAGTTTCATATTTTTCACTTATTTAACTTTCAAAATGAAGTATGTTAAAAGGCACAGTGGTGTGAAAATGCATTTACACTTGAGTAAAGGAAATTATTAGCTGCTTACTTCTATGGCAATAAATATCATGGCAGTAAATGTTAAAAATAATAATTAAAAATTTATGTCAACAGCAATCTTGGCTTAAATGTATATCTGTACTGTCAGCAAGCCGGTTTGTCTTTCACTTTAAAATATATTTTATAATAAGGAAAAACATTAAGAGTGGAGTGCAATTGTCTCTATGATGACAATTTTATGTTCTCTGCTGTATAATTTACAGCTCAATCTGTATTATATAAATATCAGAATGTTTTGAAATTTCACAAAAGCCACTTTAAAGGTCAAAATCTTATGTTGTCAAACTGCTTATGTAAATATTGTTCAAAGCAAAATGCCCAAACTAGTGGCTTCTGAATTCAATACATAAAGCATGAATCAGGGAGATGCCAGGGGCAAAAAAGTGAGAGAGTGATGCCGATGCTGCAGCAATATAGAGTCACAAGGCATCTGTTAGTAGATAGATCATTAAATGTGTGCCTGGTAGCTACTGAAAAAAGGGGAAAAAATATTGCCTAATATAATTTTCAAAAAGTTTAGAAAAAAATTGAACTTGTTCTAGTTTTATTTTTAGACATACGTGGCTCCAAAGGAAAATAAAAAGAATTGCAGAAAGTCCACCTTTAAAGTCATTTTATGCTTTAGCCAATTCCAAATAGTACCATAATGTCTGTAGACATATGATACAGTTTTCTGCATCTACAGTCTCTGAATGACTGGTTTATTCTAACCAAGTGATCCCAATATTAAATCATGCCTCACGATGACTAGATTGATACTGATTTTAAAAATTCCTTCATGAGGAGAAGGGCTTTCAAGAACGGGAGTCCTACATCATACAACTTATGTATGTCACTTTTGAGACTACCTAGGGAAGCTCAAGCTTAATTTTATCTATATCAGCTCGTGCTTTTCCATATGTTTATACAGCATTTAGTTGGCATATCTAAGTACTGTAAGTAAAGATTGTAAACCTTAGACATATGAATGCATATAATCACATATTCTTAAGATTAAAAATAAACATAAAATCAGAAGAGATTAATTGAATGTGGAATGACACTTACTTTTCAACGTAGTGGTTTTTTTACAGTCATAGCGATGCCTGCTATTTTCTAGGAGTATCATTAACTCAGCAAATGTTATCCAGATGCTACAATATAGTATTAATCATCTTCTAGGAGGATGATTCACACTCCATCATGTCCCACAGATGGATGCAATATTCACATTATTGGTTCCATATTTTGTGTGTCAGCAATGATGTTTCTCTATCAAAACTGTATTTGAAAAAGAGGAGCCTTGAGTTAGTTTCTCCCGGTTCTTTTGGCTGTCACTGCAGTTTAGTATTAGCTTTCAAGCTGAAAGAAACTTTAAGGATTAAAATTAAAAAAATAATTACATATCTAGCACTGGCTGATCCAATAAACTCCAGCCCTAGCAGATCTCATTAGATGTAATTCATAAACCTTAAGTACAGTACTTTGAACTTTATAGGAAAGTGAGGTCTTATATAGAGATACTTTTAATCCATGAACTAAGATAGTCTTATTTTACACATTGCTTAACAATTCAGTGTTCTCCAATCTACGATTTTTAATTTTTTTTCCCCAGCAAAGATTGGCCATACACTTTAATTCAGTCACTTTCCAAACCATGGTTGTTAAATTCTATTCGGTTACTTTATGGATGTGGTTTTATCACTTGGGCAATTAAGAGTTCAAGAAAAGGTCTTTTTTTTATTTCATGGCTGTGAGATTTTAATAGTCAGACTGAACCAGTCCTAAAATTTATGGTCAGCAGACAGCATTGGATATAGAATTAGAGACGAAGACGTTAATCCAGAATGGTTTTGGAAATAGATTCTTTAACGTCTAAAAAGCTTATGGTTTAAAAGCTTTTTCAGAACCTGTTAGGTTTCAAAACTAACTGCATAAATTGCCTGCTATTTCCTTGGGACTTTGCCATATAAATTAATGAGTACTTCCACCACTAGGAAAAATATGAGGAAACTTTAGCATTGCTAAAACTCCAGTCTTTCTGTGTTCCAGTTCTTGTCTTGCTGATTGTCACCATGAGGCGACGGAAAAAAGAGCCCCTCATTTTTGATGAAGAGAGAGATATCAGAGAGAACATTGTCAGGTATGATGATGAGGGTGGTGGAGAAGAAGACACTGAGGCTTTTGACATGGCTGCCTTGAGAAACCTCAACATTATTCGAGACACCAAGACCAGAAGGGATGTGACACCTGAGATTCAGTTCTTGAGCAGACCAACTTTTAAAAGCATCCCAGATAATGTCATTTTTAGGGAATTTATCTGGGAAAGACTAAAAGAAGCTGATGTGGACCCCTGCGCGCCACCTTATGACTCCCTGCAGACATACGCATTTGAGGGGAATGGCTCGGTGGCAGAGTCGCTCAGTTCTTTAGATTCGATCAGCTCAAACTCTGACCAGAACTACGATTACCTCAGTGACTGGGGCCCTCGCTTTAAAAGGCTTGCAGATATGTATGGGACTGGACCAGACTGCTTATACTCATAGCCTTGGAATCTTTCTCTGAAAATGCACTGAAGAATACTAAACCAGAAAACTCAACCTTACAGACTGAAGAAAGTTGTAAATATTTCTTCATTTTTAACCTTTTAGGTTTTTTTGCCTTGGTGGAACATATCTTCGTTAGACTTGTACTAGGGACTGCACTGACCACAGAGATTATGAACATTTGGTGGCATTTTTGATAAAATGAAATGCTCAGCCAGGTTCAAATAGATAGCAACCCCCAGATACCTGCAGAGGCAACTCACTTTCAAGAGTATGTTATGCACTGTGACCTCAATGAGCCAATGATACTCTGCAGATGCCTTTGCAGTATTGCTATATCTACAACACAGAGTCTCTGGTATGAGATAAGTATAAGAAGAAACAAATTTACAAATATAATATAACATTCAATACAACATTACAATATATAGTACTTACAGATGCAAGGGGTTTTTTAACAATTTTTTTTTACAGTGTTGCATGAAGCTTGCTAGGCCAAAAGCAGAAGGACAGACATGAAGACAAACAAAAGCCCGGCAGATCATTTTTTTGCTTCTCCCTGTTTGTTCTCAGAGCTATTTAATTAGAAGTGTCTGTAATTTTCTGGGTAGTTTTATGAAAAATTACTGTTTGTACTAAGAAATTCCACAATGTTTGTCATCAACTTACTGAAGTAGTTTACAAACCACATAAAATGAGAAATATGGAGGGATATTCTTTTGGTTGAAAAGTTTTGTGATGCCCATGTAGGTATAGAAAAGCTGTTGCTATCTATTTGCTATTTTTTATTATCTCTTCTGATTTGTACAGGAGAATTTATCCTTTTTTATTATTATTTCACATAAAGTGTTATATTTATTTTGGAGCTCAAATCTCCACTAAATTCAGGTCCATTTTACTGCCTCATGGTATTAGACTTGTCAGAACATGCTGATTTTTCTCCAGTCTCAGAAATATGTAGGAAATGAAGCATGGAAATGGAAAAATTACAGTAAAGCAATCTCACCCGCCATTCATCTCTCAGAAAGGAGCGCAGCTACAAGGACATGCAGTTGTTCTTCTGAACCATTACAAAGTCTGAGACATTTAAATAAAACATTTGTACATTGGATTTTTGGAAAGAAGACTACAGAGGTGGCTGGGAGTGTCTTTAATGCAAGATTTAATTTTCAAGGTTAAACATGCTGTATGCTTCAAAGACTTGCTTTTCTCCTTCCCCTTCTCTTTTGCTGCTGATGAATCACAGTAAAAGACTCTTTTAAATTTCTTTCTTATGCTAAGCAATGTAATGCCATTAACTCCAGAAATCATCTTTAGATCCTGCTGCACATAAGTATTTTTCCCCAAAGGTGTTAACTCACTACACATAACTTCTACGTTGGTTCAGGAGTGCCAAAACAGAAGGACAACTGCTGTTGGTTAAAATACTGTACGATTTTGAAGTAGGATTTCTTAAATAAGACAACTTTTTTATGATTCTGACAATATTTATACTTCATCTTTCATGATTTATTACTAGATAATAAGGCATATATTCAAGTAAAATAGTGTTTTAAAGTATTATTTCAGATTGTTTTGTTTTAGATAATCTATAGATGGGTTCCTAAGTTAGAATCTGCTCCTGCAAACTTTTTGCTTGTACCTAACTTGAAATGACTTGACTTGCCTGCAATTACTGAGAGGCGTACAGAATTTTTTGCAGGACTGTGTGTGTGAATAGAAGGTACTCCACAGAGGATGATGTTAAAAGTACTTCTTTCTGAAAGAAGGATCCTCTTACTAAAATCCTAATGTATGGGTGACACCAGGTTGGGAGATGGGAATTATCATTAATGCTTTGTAATTTTTGTAGCCCAGCATTATCAATTAACTATGTGAAAGTGGCCTTCAGCTCCATCAGAGAAAACAAAATAATTTTAATCATCTGCAACATATTTAATTTGAGTTACATTTTGGTAGACAATAATGGTTTCATAATTCAGTAGATTTGCTTCTAGCTGTATTAAATATATATATATAGGTGTGTGTATATATATATATATATACAGATTTTGTAATGGAACTGAAAGATGTTGCCCATGACTTTTAGTCATACATGTAAGATTTTCAATAAAAAATTTTAAAAAAACCAAAATGAACCACATGTATGCAGTTTAATGAGAGCGAGATATGCTGCAGGAGTTAAGCAGGTATTAAATCAGCAAGGTGCTGAGAGAACAGTTTTTTATTAATCTCCTTGTTGTTTGTGGGAAGATAATTCATGCAGTCGGATTAAGATGTCAAAAATGCTGATTTTAGCATATAACACTCAAAGGAGATTTAAATATGATTTAGAGTAAACAACACAATTCCCTTGCTTTTCCACCCTCTATAGCTGTAAAGAACCAAAAAGCTGCCCTGTTATGAAGCTATGTTAAGGTGGGTTTTTTTGGTGTGTTTTCTATGGAAAGAAATATGCTCTATTTTAATGCCATAAAAATGCTTGCATATACATGTTTTCTGTTGCACAATTCTAAAATAATTGAGTAAATTTGTTGTTACATTATATATGCTTACCTATTGATTATATTATTGCAGTAAGAAAGAAAGGCGGAAATCCCTTACATTTGATGACAGATATTACTGTAGTATATACATATGGTCTGCATAATACACATACTATATAATGCTCTCCATAAGTTACCATGACTATAGGTTTTCACAGCTTATAATCTGATTCAAATTCTTTCTTTGAGTGTTATTTATACTGCATAGCCCGATGTCATAAAGTATATTCTACTGACTAACCAGTGTAAAATATAAGACATATTTTCTCTGTCCTGGAAAGGTTATGAAATTATTTGAGCAAATTAATTAGAAAGGCCTTTTAAAAAGAATTCTCATTTTATTTATTTATTTCACTTTCTGAATTGCTCCAGTATCTAACTAAAGGCCACAAGTCCTCCTTAAAAAGTATGTCAAACTTTACAACCACTCCCATGTTATAGTGAAATGCCTTCTACCATATGACAACTGAATAGGCCTATTTTAAATTGAGATTTCCAAGAGCCTTGAAAAGCGTATGGTTTTAAGAATGCTACTAAAAAAATCCACGTAAAGTTAACCCATTTGAAGAAGATTTAAGGCAAGGCTCCTTACTCTGCTTTGACCAGTGTAAAATCTACTGAATTCCACAGAGTTAAACAGTGGGCATTCTGACTTACATTTTTTATTCAAAACAATAGACTTAGTTTACTTACTCTATTAACTTATATCCCCACTAAGACGTAGCACAGGCTTTTGTAAGCCCACTAATTCTGATGGCTGGGTTAATACAATCATTGCAGGACTCATGAAATTTGATGATACTAACCGAAACCTCTCTTTCTCCCTAAGAAATTCGGGGAAAAAAAATTGCTTCCTTTTTACTTGTTGTTTTCTTTGTTGTTTTGACAGGGGAATTTCCCTTTAAAATTAAGATATTTTCTCAGTTATTTTATCCTATTTACCCTTTGGTGCTGCACTCATCAATAACAAAATATTTCCCACCCTTTTTTCTTTTTAGAGCTTTTGGATGAAAGCATGTTACAAAATATAAAATGGCAGCATTTTATTTTTATGGACAAGTACTCTTGTATGATACGAAGAAAAGAATAGTCTGTCATTCTGTGAAAGAAATAAATATACTATAAAGCATACAATTACGTTGACTTTTAAGATCATTAAAGAGTTGAAAGGTGAACAAAATGACCTATAAAAAATCTAGTATTAAATTATTGGTTGCAGCCTGTCATGTGGCTGATTTTATTTTTCTATATGTAGAATTTTTCTCTACTTTAAAATCTATGTAGAGCAATACTGCTTTGAGACAACATTGTATTCACCTCATTAGTGACAGTTAGATGGGGTCAAGTATATTTTTATTGGTCTGTGACACTAAAAGTGAATTGCAAAAGATAGAAATGTCATTGCATAGAAAGACAGAAACAGGAAGGTCTACAAGATAACCAGAGGTCTACAAGTTACAGTCTTAACTATGACATCACTAAGTTTCGCAAAGATATAGTTACGCCATTTTTTCCACACCAAGAATTCTTCCTCTGCTCAGTATCAATGCAGCTGAAAACATATTGTATTGTTTACTGAAAAGTTTTTTATTGATATCTACCTGCAGTTTTGTTCTTTGAACTAGGAGAATCACAGTACACAACAGGAATAATCTATTTCCTATATGAAGGGAATGAAAAAAAAATCCACATATGAATGCTATATTTTGCTTTATGACTATAGTTTATAATTTCTTACAAAAGAGAAAAAAAACTTTCAATGTAGTACATAAAATCTGTGAAACCTTAGATCATACAATTGCAGACAGAAATATATTGGTTGAAAAAACTTTATTTATCTAAGCATTATATGCCACAGGATTGTCCTGGAATCTTTATGTATCTAATCAAAAACAATGAAAACAGAAAACAGCACAGGAATTTCTTGTAAATCAGAACAAAATCTGATTTGAAGGTCCAGTGGTGTATCATATGCATGCTTCTTCTCTTATCTCATATGTGGACACATATTTCCTAAAATTATATGTATATTTAAACATTCCACCCACACACTATGTATTTTAAAATACCTTATTTAACCAGAGAGTATCTGAAAAAATTAACCCTACTCTCAAAAACTCTGTCTATCCCCATTAATGTCTGATGTATAAAAATATAATTCAGACTCAGGTAAAACTTTTAAGATTGCCCCCACAATAAAAGCAAATTGTTTTCATATTTTGACCCAAAATAGTTTAGAAGCTGTTAGAAGTGTTGCGAGGACTGCTATTTCCATGACGTTTTAAAACCATAGGTTATTTTGTAATAAAATGGTATCAGATTGAAATTCCTCTTCCTAGAAAAGGTGTAAAGTTTAATGGAATTTAATATTTGGTTGATTAACTAAGGTCATAAACCTATTGTGCGTCATAACAGCAAGCTGAATGCTGAACCAGGGCTAGAAAAAAGTCAAGGGTTTTATTTTCTCCTTCTACTCCCCACCATCTCTGCCAAAGTCAGAATTTCTTTTCATTATACA